ATATCGTTGCAGATGAAGCGGTGATTACATTAGCAAGAATAATTCCGCGTCACCGTGGAAAAATATTTGAGAACCGCTCGGAAACTTAAGTTTTCCGTCACAGGCTACTTACGAATTTACATCTCGTCATGTAAGCGTTGAATGCGATGTAGAAATTTGAATTTTCGTACTTAATCCTATTACGCCGTAACTCTCTAGTTTTAAGGCTATGACAAAAGAACGTAAGACGGGAGGGCTTGAGACGCAATTGAATGAAAAGCACAGGCGATAGGAATAGGGAATAACAGATTTAACAATCTAGCAGAAACCGTGTTTATCAGAATATATGGCTTCTAGTTAAAATCTGTTATTCCCTTTTTCTATTAATCAGTCAAAAGAAAGTTGGAATGATGATTTTTTTTATTACAAAATTTAGCTGTTTATTGACGTCAAGAATCAAAATTAATCATTTTGACTTTTACGTGTTTCTTGATTGCATCTTATGCGCTTTCTACCATAAGCCGTTAATAATAAGATAATAGGATAAAAGACAAAAGCGAGTTTTAAGAAAATCAGCAGTCATAAGGCAATAATAAGTCAGTAATGACTGCGTGGAGATGGCCAAGTTCCATTTCTACGATTTAAAACTTAGATATAGACCGATATTCATAGTCGGTTCTTATTTTAAAATAGTCTTAAGTAATGTTTTGTCGCTAAAATGCAGTCCTCTGATTGGTTCGTGATTTCTTAAGACTGTACTTAAGACGGTTTTGAATATAAGATCTCTATGAATACCGGCCTTATGATTGACTAACCGTACAGTGTTATTTGCCCTGACAACTACCAGCCTTCTAACTGACTGAAATTGTTGACGATTTAATATGATTTATATTTAGACGTAAGATTTATGAATTATAATTCCGCTTTATCACTAGTATGCTATGAGCGTATGACTAACGATTTAGAACTTGTAGAAATCTCGTTAAAAAAAAACGTAAGCAGTAACCGAATCGGTACTAGAAAACGTGAGATAATAACCTTAATAACGTACATAAGCAGTAACAAACACAAAAAATGTTAATTTCTTTACTGCTTACATCTTACTACCTTAAGTTTTTTGTGTGCCATGGGCCTTATCGTGATAAACGCGAAAACAAGCACCGATAATTTTCTAGTGCCATTCACCTTCTGAATTTTTTACATTTAATAGCAAATAAATTGAAACAGTTGCCTGTAAAGACGATAGTATCAAGAAAATTAGCATATAAATTGAAATTTTCACGTAATTATCATAGAAATATCATACAAGTTTATCGTGGTTAGATATTAACAGAGACCCTACAACGTACTGCGTACGTTAAGTTGGAGGATTAAATTTTCGTACTTAAACTCGCGGTTATCACGAACGATTCGTCCAATCCAAGGTGTTCATTATCGTCGCGTTTGCACGTTCACTCGTCAATGAATAATCCGCACTTCCGTATCGCGATACAACCTACCTCGGGAGGTAGGTACAACGAAGGAGAAAGAGAGAAAGAAACTGGTGGACGGTCTCACCCTTGCAGAGTTCTCGAAGCACGAGGTTTCCATCGCGGGAGCGTATGATTAAACAACTCAGGTGTTTTATGCTTGGCTCGGTGGTGATCGCGTGACCCAACAGCCACATCCGTTTCCGCTTTTGCGTACGGTCAACCTCTTCGACCCCTGACCAATGGTTCGCCTTAAGGGTGCGCGTTACCATCGACTGCGAAAGAAAGTATACTTTCCGCTGACGTATCTTTAACCTGTAATCGGCTTCGCTCGATAGTCACGCGTCGACGACAAGCTCTCCGCGACGAGAGCAGTTAAATTTTACTTCGTGACGACTATTTACACTCCTCGATGATTTTGTTTCTGTATTTAATAAGAAATCCAGGTTTCAAGATCGAGATTATGTCGCAGGAGGCAGTGATTTTTAATCTTATATAAAAGACTACCTTTTATAACGTATGCACGGAAGGAACGATTTTACTAAAAGATTGAAAATTTTGCTGGATACACAGCCGAAAATAATTTTGTTACCAGCATGATTTCGTTGGAAACACAAACTGCTAGAATATCAAATTTTTTTGCAGCATTGCTTATTTTATAGTTTCTGGCATAATTATTTTGATGGTTCTGCAAAATTAATTGCAGATATGTATCCAGTAAAATTTGAATTTTATTTATTTTTAACAAACTTACCGCTGCACGAAGTTGTGAAGTTCGTAGCACTACTTTTATTCCGATCTAATGTTTTTTTTACATTTTTCATTATCTGTTCTATCAGTCTATAGAACTAGTCTATTAATCTATAAAAATATAAACGTATAGGTGATTTGCCCGTATAAGATTTGGTTTTCAATTTGTAAAAGACCACCTTTTATAATGTTTACGGAAACCATTATTAGTTTATTTTATGGTTCATGTATTTTTTATACTTCTCACTATTTTATAAATGATCTATTAATCAATGGAAACAAACGTATAGATTTGTAGATACTTTCTAGCGCTCTCCGATGTATGCTTTCAATGTTTCGGGTCTCGTGGCCTGAATCGATTCAGACTAGACAGCCATAGGGTGCAAGAAAGGTCGGACAAATGTCGGGGTGTGACATTAAATGCCGAAATGCCATCGATCCCATGAAGTAGCATAAAGAAACGATCTTGTTATTTCCTATTCTTTTTCCAATCTGTCATAATGTTTGATTAAATGCAGCATTTAATCGATCTATATAAATTTAGGTATAATACAAAGAATATAATAAATTTATGAAAAAACTCTATAATGATAAGAAAGATAAGTATGACATCAGAAATGAATCCACAAAGACAGAAAAGTTTACATAAACATTAGGTTTAATTGCGTTGTTCAAAATACGTAAAAATTTTTGCATTTAAAACAAGGTATAAATATATTTTCGAACGTCACACAAAAGAGAGAAAGCGAAAATTTTGAGTATAAAATTGTAAGTAATGCGAACGGAGCTGTTTGTTCCATCTGACCTTGTTTCCGAGTTACAAACGTGTCATTAATTTTTATTACAAATTGAGCTAGCATTTTCACACACGCGTCTTACTTCTTTAAAGACAGAAATGTATGAAGACACTACGATAGTGTCAGTTCGTAACGAAAATTAATGAAACGCGAAAACGTAACTATATTGAAACAAGGACAGAAAGAACAAATATTTATACGAACATTTTGTGTTATTTAGTTGTGTTTTGAATTCATTTCTAAGTTACGCTCACATATTATGAAGCACCCTGTATGTACAGATATATAACAAAAAAGAAAGAGAAGTGGTATAAGCGTGAATAATTAAGTTGATTTAACTAAGATAATAAAATAGCTATTAAGGGATACAATATATTTAAAAGAGAGAGAAAGAAAGTGCAATTTTATAATCGTTTAAATCGAGTTTAATCATTTCGGCGTTTGGAAACCAGCTCGCCGTCATTAAATTAAATAATTGCATTGTGTCCTTTTAAAAAAAAAAAACATAAAACCAAAACTCTATACGTTTTATTTCTCCTGGTTATACGAGCGGCTTTTTATGAATTTAATTTGAATATATAAAATATTAATATATCGACATCTAAAAAGATTAATCTAGCTCTCCCTCTCCCAAAGTTAATCAACACATACGTAAAACGGGACGCTTTGATAACTAGCCGAGCCAAAGGGTTGTTAGCACTGAATGGTTCAACTGTTTTGGACAAGCAAAGACACGGGGGTATAATTAATTCGGCCATTCGGCTTTATCGCTGTGCTATTATGCTTGGACGTATCTCTCACCGCGAATATTCGGTCTGCTCTCTCTCTCTCTCTCCCTTCGGATTCGTGAGTTTTCCGAGAAATTAGTCGGCATGATTTGCATCTGACGTGCACCTCGAGGCACCCACACGTCGCTCGCATAGTTTGCAACTTTGACTTTCCTAGCCCTCTCCTTCCCCCCCCCTCTCTCTCTCTCTCTCTCTTCTCCGCGAATGTCTCCGAATGCCTTCGCATCCACGTCGGAAGCTCTCGCGTCAATTATGTTCGTCAAGAGAGGAAACGTCGAGCGGATTCTTCTCACTCTACGGCATTGATCCTCCTCGAAAGTCTCGAGTTAGGGGAGCGAACCAACGTTTATTCCGACCATAATTTAGAACGGGGGACGGTAGTCGCGAAACGGCAATATTTTATATTGCCTCTCAGAATGTAATTTTACTAAAAACAAGTAACTTATTCGTAAACTATATTAGTTATTTGTGTAGGTATTTATTTTGTAAAATTTCCTAGAGCGTTTTCACTCGGACACAATCGTAACTCTTTGATAGGATTCTACTCTTACAAAGTTCTAAAAGGACTTGAAAATGTGTGATGAGAAGTGTCGCTCGTTGTCTTGCGAAGAGACGGAGAAGAGACGGCTGTCTTCTTCGTGGTGTCTCGCAAAAGCATGACGCGCGGGCTCTCGAGCCTTCGCACACCGATTATCTCCATTCGGCAGATCCGCCGAGGCGTCTCGGCTCGAGTCCCGGCTTTCGAACGAGCCTCGGCTTAACTCGGTTGTTGTGAATAAGTAAGCGAAGTGTTGCGAAGTGCTGCAGAAGTTAGGCAAACCCCCGGGCGCGCGCGTCTGGGGTGGCTCGAATTAAATTGTTATACGGATGAGCTGCCACGAGGAATACTCGAGCAAGCGACTTTGCCGTCGCCGCCGACGTCGGCGCCGCCGGGTGTGAATGTTTAATTACCGGCTTTCATTATTGTTAATAAAATAATAGCACCGCCAGAGGGGGTTCTGCGGAAGCGAGGCCACACTTTGGCGCGGCGTGAATCGGAACTCGTTTTCGTTAGCGAAATATTTTCTGGAATTCCGCCGATCGTTAAAAAATTACGATTAATACGATCTTAATCCTAATTAATAATATTAATTTAAATTTAAATAAAAGATCCTTTTTGCGAGAAAGAAAATTATTAAATCGATTGTGTCGTTATATACATTTGTGTTCTTACGTACCTGTGATTGCACTGTTGACAAGCGAAGCACTCCAAGTGATAAACGTTGGTCCTTGCGCGCATCACCATCTCGAAAGCTGGGATTACTTTGCTGCACGCTGCGCAGTGACCGGTGTTTCCGAAGAGTCTATTAAATAAAAAAGAAGAGGCATGATTTAACACTCTTATTCTCTTAGCTTTGACCGTATATATAAAAGCTCTCTCAATTTATTGCATTCTCTTGGAAAAAAACAAAAAAACGGTAATAAAGTTTAATGGAAAACTAATAAAATTTTGAAGTTGTTATAAATAAATATGACTTTTTTAGTTTTTTGTTTAGAATATTTACGTCAATTTGTAGAGGTATTTATACTTCTGACCAAGGCTATACGTATTACACAAGGTATTATACGTATCAAATAATTATGCACGCGAAACAATACTTTTTATGTTGTATTAAATTAAAATCGCGATATTCTTATATCGCGCAGTAAACATCATCATAAAATATTATTGGGAGGCCTAACTTTTGCCACGACGCAAGAAAAGTCGTTCTTTCGATGACGAAAGCGAACGGGAAGTTTCACCCTGTGCGCGACGGAAACCAATAAGCTTACGGGCACCGCGAATATACCGTCTTCAAATATTAGGCCATTAATAAAGGCCACAATGTTTCGACGGTGCGTGTTCTTCGTGCGGACGCCACCACCTGCGCGTATTCCCTCGGGACTCCGTAATCTCAACATAGTTTATTTGCTCTCACTCGTGTTTATATGGGATGTGGATGTATTCAATAAGGGAAATTCATCTGTAAAATTCGATTTGTTGCCTCTACCCGCCTCGATTTCCTCTCCCTTTCGCAATAGCGTCTTTCGTCAATCCGTCTGTCTGTTTACTGACTCGTGATGCGCAACGCTGTATTGAATACACAAAAATTTTGTCGAAAAGGAGGAAACTGGTCGATCGATTAAATTGTTTGTTCGTTATTTACCGTAAATAATCTCTTTTGCAGAGGATAAGATTGGCCTTTGTGTAGAGTGTTGAACCGACTTCGCCAAGTCTGCAGTCGCAACATCCACATTTCAAGCAGTCTTCGTGCCAAAACATGTCCAATGCTTTCAGAAGATATCTGTTTAAGAAAAGTTATTATCTGGATAGAAAATACAAGTGTGATTAAACTTATGAAATACGCTTTTAGATTTTTAAGATTAGATTTATAAAATTTAGACTTCTCTTCTTCTCGGAAAATTTATTTAATATGTTTCTCCTACGACTTGATCATTAATACAATAATAACACACTAAATTTGTGACTTTAATATAATGATTTGTCACATAAACTTAAATTTGAAGAATTGAATGATAGTATCGGTTAAAAGATTTTTTTAATAGAAAAGAAAGAATATTACTAATGCTACTCAATGTAAGTTCAGTTTGTTTTATATGACAAGAGATTTCTTTATGTAACGATTTTATATAATAGAAATATATAATATTTATAATTTATGAATATACGATATCGTGATATACTAAGATTATGTAATAATATTATATAATTGAATGCAGGTTTCTTCTATTCTGCAACATACATTAAGCGTGCATTCACCATTTTTAATTATAATTACACATTTCTATTTGCTTCAAGTATCAGCTGCGAATTTTGTACAACACATATTTCCTGTGGTTCACTTCTTGTTAAGAAAAAAGTGCACTTAACCCATCCAGTTCATACTTCTGACGACTTCCGGGGTTGGACAGACATTAGGATCGACCGTTGAGCGAACCGTCTCTACGGTTAACGTTCTTTCAAGGTAGGATGTGAAACATACCACGTAGCGTTGCGTCACGCAAACGAAGCGGAACACTTACCTCTCCGTAATCGCCTTTCCACAACCCGCGCATTCCTGTTGAGTGGCCCCGTTCTTGCCCGGTTCGCTCTTGCTCCCATCCATAGTCATTTTATCGCCTGCAACATGATACGGTAATGTTGGTTTAATAGCCATTGTACAAACCATGCGTCGTACAAACCATCTCGTAGAATTTACATTTAACACATTCAAATTTTATTCGGGAAACATATTGAGAGCGCGATAGATCTTGTTAGGTTTGGTATTATAACATAATTAAGCGAGAAAGAAATCCGTATATTCGGTCAAAGGCGAATCTTGGTACTTAATAATATTTTTTGAGTGAATCTTACAATTTCTAGTTATTTCAAATTCTTATTTTAGTTACTTCAAATTCTTTATAGTGCGTTAAGATGCTCTAACATCTATATTATTGAATTGCTTATTAATTTGTGCATGATATTATGTATTTCGGTTTCAGTTTAAAACCGTGTTTCAAGAACGATAAATCAGTGCGCAGTTCACTTGAGCCGGAAATTGTTTAAAAGTCACATAAAATATTATTCAATATCAAGATCCACTTTGATCGAATACGCCTTCCTTCACTTAACTGTGTCGAACATTTTTCGGTCAATTTTAATTTATTATAGTTTGGGTGTTATATTTATTTATTTTTGATATATCGGTTCTATTCTGATGATTGGTTAATGGATAACAGTTACTTTAACATCATTTATCTATTATAAACACTGTTTTTTATGTCATTATTTAGATCCAGAAGCCGGAGCAGCCGGAAAGTCTCGGATCGACTTTCGGCTGCAATCGCCGTCGTTCAGGATAGAATGAGTAATCGCGTTCGCGTGCTTTTAACAAGTTTCACCGGCATCTGGCACTAGAATGTCGGCTTGTCTATGAGTAATTAGAGTTACGGCTTGAGAATTTAACGGCGCGGTTAGTGCCATCTGTGTCCACCTCGTTCGGCCCGTTCGGGTGTAGCCTTCCTCATCCCTCGGGAAACCCTCCCGCATCGGAGCGTCCCGTCCTCTTTCTCGCGATGTGGTCAGAGTTTAGAATCGAATTAGTTTGACCCTCCCGCACTTCTCTCTTCCTCCACTTATTGCACATTTAAGCACCACCGGTTTCGAAACAATTCAGCGACCCGGGTAGTCGACCGCTGTCCGTGCTTTGGATAAACATTAGGTATCCCTTCGAAGAGCCACGGTGTTCTTTTAAGTGTATAAGAATAGTATAACGCTTGCATAGACTGCACAGAAAAAGAACAGCAAAGTCCTTTCAACAGCGAAGTCCTTTCAACCGAATCGACAGGAACAAATTTACCGTAAATGTTATAATATTATTCCAGAGAATGCTTTCTGGAAGATGCGATATCTTTGAATGTAGAGGAGACTGTGGGTACCCATACTGAAAAAGAAGTTTTGTTGAATTAATTGGAATTTTGGTAGATTCAATTAGAAAGGCATAAATTAGATACTTATAGTTAAATCTATCAAACATTTTAGTCGAGGTAGTAAAAAAGTCAATTACAATAACCAGAATTCGAATTGGTATGATTAGAATTTGTTTTGTTTGTACTTCTTGTTGATACAATCGGAACATTTTTCTCAGTATAGGAACGTATTTGTACCTTGCAACACACTAGTTATTGTTTTAAGAATTAAAAGATTTTTAATGTTTGTTTAGTTATACTTTTCAAATGAAGTAATATAACTGAACCGTTATTAAAAATCTTATTATTGTTAAAAAATAATATATCTTTGTCCCCCCTTCCCCCCCCCCCTCAAGGTACAATATGTATCATAGTTTACCTTACATTAACAATGAAAAAAGTCACAATTTTATTATAATTTTTGAACAATGTAACATTAAAAAATTTGTTAACATAATTCCTTTTTAACAATAATAGAATTTTTCACATTGTCTATTCGATTATATTACTTTTTAATTAAAATAATGTAAAAATGAACTATTATTGTTAAAGAGACAATTATTATGATCAAAGTACATGCTCCTAAATACTACATTCCCTACATGTTAGATAAATAGTAAAATAGTAAATTGTCAGGTCTTGATGCGGTTAACGTGACGCATATTGACGGGTCGGTCTTTTTCCTCGGGCGATGTCCACCGGCCGCACTACGCCAAGTTCGATTTCAGCCACCCGGTATATTTACGAGCTCATACCCACGGATGCTATGAGCGAAGTTTGTGCGGTTTCAATATGTCCTTCCCTCCTCTCCACCCTTAGCATGGACACAATATTACGTGGGTTAATATCTTCCTTGTGGTCGGGGACTTCGGGGCAAATATTAATACGATGCCTTTGATCCGTTAATTATTAACGGCGACGGGGATGAAAAATCCGTATCGCCTTAGCGGAACGCGAAAATTGCCAGGAACAAAAACCAGATGCCGGATGATGCCCCCGTTTTCCGATGCGCTTCTAATTAAACGCCTTTGTGTCGCGGATAAGCGGACGAGACCCGCATACATAGAATGCGTGTCCCGCGTATGTATGTTTGCGTATGTCCGTTTTTTGCGCGACACAACGCGAAAAGTTTTCGTCCACGGTAACGAGAGACGCCTCCGTGCACACCGAGGCACCTCGGTTACAATCGCATACGTGGGGGCGAGTTAATTAATCGAGTTGAATCGATTACACGCTTTACCTCCGCCCGCGGGTTACCGATAAATTGAATACGTTATAAATAATAGTACGATTGTTATTCGCGGGCGTGCACACACCTACCCAGGGTAATGATTAATGGAATAACTAACTAGGGGTAAATTATGCAAACTATTAAATCCGCCCGCATATAAACTTTCCCACATAATAATCGCTAGGCGATATCGATTGGCGCGATATGTTAAATTTATGTTACTCTTTTGGCGGACCTCGCCAATGTAATTAGATCGGATTGAAAATATTTAGAGTATCTTTCCTCACTTATTTTCCGTATCACCCGTGAATATGTACCTACATGAATTTTGTACAGGCGCTTTTTAGCTTTAGATTCACGTCTATCTCATTTCGAAGTTATCAACGGAATATCCGTCATGGCTGTGTGTGTCCGCTCGTGTCAGTCGCCACGTGTTAGACTCTCGGACGACGAAACGTCATTGTCTCGCGAACGGAAGTGGCGAGAGTGTTTCCTTTGAAACTCGAAATCTCCCCGCCCTCGTACGAACTACGATACTACAGAAATATTTGGAGTTACGTGCACTGGAATTTCACCGCAGAAATTCCTGCGGACGCCGACCTGGATTCCGCCGACGACCTCGAAAACCTTCGGCCGTCAAGCCAGGTTGGCGCTCAATTTCCACTTTGTATTTAACCGTGATTTTCATCGGTGCGGTGGGTGTGGTTTTACCTTCGGCGAAAGAATATCCATCCCTTTAGCCATTCTTCCGACTGGCAACAGCTAACTTTGATCGCGATTTAACTGTTTCTCTTTCGCGCGTGCACTGCTGGAATCGCGACGAAACCAGGAAAATTGCGCGTGTGCGAAGTTAATGTCCCAACATTAATGGGCTTTCTACTCTCTAAAACTTTTTTCAGAGTGAATTGTTACTCCAAAGAGTGAAATTTCTCACTCCTAAGGATTGAAAATTGAGCCACTGTTTTTTAAGAAAGGCTCAAAGTTATTACTATTCATTTTACTCTTTATTTACTCTATAATTTTACTCTTTAAAGTAAGAGTCCACTCCAAAGAATTTATAGAATACAATAAGCTGTTGAGAGTATGGCACATAAAGAAATTTAAACAGTAAGACGTAAGCAAATCAACATTTTGGACTTAGTACTGCTTGCATTATTGTCCTTTTTACTGTGACTGACGGGTTTGTTTACTTATGTCTTATTGCATTATGTTTTTTTTGTGCCATAGGCTTTCACTTCATTCACATCGTACTGGTGATAAATCAGAGTTATAAATAATAAATTTTAGGAAATTTATAAAATAATGTCCGTTTCTATCAATGGAGATTAACTTTAGTCTCCAACTTATTTTTTATCTTTTTTTAATTCGTAGAACTAAAAAAAGATGATGAGTTATTTGGACCGAGATTAAAATTAAACTACATTAAGATATATAGAAGCAAGTATAAGTTACATTAGATTGATCAGTTTCAAGTTATGTCAATCAGTTCTGATTAGTTGTCTCGATGAAGTAATATTGCTTTATAATTAGTTAGTCATAATGTAATTTAAATTTTAAATCATGACAAATGGACAATTTGGTCATTTCTTCGCGCAATTACTGATTACCGATACATTTTTGCCTAATGACATACTACTGACTCGGTTACTCACTCCCAATAGTTCCAACTTCTAGATTAAGAATTCTTATTATAAATAAAAAGAAACTCTTTTCGTTTCTGCTCACAATCTCAAATTTTAATTGAACAAATAGAGTACTAATTTCTATCGAAATTCGAGATTGAATAATTCCGAGCGGTTTAATAACTTTGTTTTGCGAATATCTAGAGCTTCTGGTAACTGGAATTCTACAGAAAGCTGCTCCCGCTGGAAATTCGTGGTCAATCGTCGATTTTTCCAGGCGCTGGTGCCGGTTTTTGCAACTAATTACACGGCCGCGGTTATTGTCGTTGAGAAGCCAGTGGAGCACGGCGGAAACAGCTCGCTCAAACGTTACCGGGGAGAGTCCATAACGAGAGGTTTCCCTTCGAAAGCGGCTCGCATCGCTGACCGCCGGAACTGTTCATCAGCTACGTGATCGAATCATCCACGGACGCTGAGCCTCAAAGCATCGATAATTCGATTAGCCGCTACACGTTCGAGAACCGCTAACCTGTCGATGAGAGTCGATGTACGTATCCTCCTTGACCAAGCCATTGCTCGTTGCTATGCTCTTGGTGGTCATTATCATCACGATAGTATTATGAAAGCGCCATGGGGATTGCTTGCCTCCTCAAGTTGATCAAAAGGACACGACACGGTTTATGAGACGGCGTAATACAAAAAACCGCTTGACCATTCATTTTGAATTTGTCTCACCATTAGGATCCTTCATGAAAAACAATTTAGTAAGAGCAAATCTCAATAAAAGTTTTCTCTAATACTGTAAGAAATGCGTCTGTG